TAGTTGGAACTGCAATAAGACATCATTTTCACTTTTGGAAACTAATATTTTAGATTCAGGCAGGTGGTATATCCGACCTTAGCTCAGTTGGTAGAGCGGGAGACTGTAGTGTACGCAGACATCTCTAGGTCGCTGGTTCGAATCCGGCAGGTCGGAATACCCCTAGACCGTTTTTGTAATTCACAAACTTATTTTAACAGACATTGTAGACTATCTTCTATAACAGGAATATATAGCATAAACTTAAAAATCCATTCATAACATTTTATTTTTTTCATGAATTAATTTTACATTCATATATATTTATTATACTCAAACAACAACAAAGATTTGTAATATCATTCTACTTTTTGATGACATATATAAATTTAAGTGGTGTAAATAGAATGCAAGTGATATTTTATATATATTTTGTCATATGTTGTTTTTGCAAATCATCATGAAGTAGTTTCATGAATTTTTATCACAATGATGACAGCGGAAGACAATGATGATAGTTCTTATTTGACTACATGATACAAAATATGGTTTATGTATAAGAGTGTTTTTGGTATGCGTTAGACATAATCTGTATGTATATATCATATCATATATTTTATATCGTTCAAATCGATCAATTTTTATACAATATATTGAGAAAAAAAATCTTTATTTTTCATAAATTAATTTAAAAAATCAAGATTTCTCCAATAATATTTAATAAATTATTTATTATTATTATTATTATTATATTGTTTGAAAATGACACGTAAAATTAGAAATCCATGAGAATTGCAGATTCCAAATTGATATGAAAAAATAATTATACATTTTTTGATGAGACCAACCTTTGAGTGAATAAGATTTTTTAATTTCTTGTAAATATTAAAAAATCATGACAAATTGAGTCTGTATAAATCTTGTTAAGATCAAGGTAAACATGGATATTTTTGGTACTAAAAAAATCATTTCATTGTTTTGAATTATAATATTTTACGTTTCTAAAAATAATTTGTATATAGTATCTTTAAAATTTCAGTTGGAAACATCATATTTTAGATAAGAAATAAATAATATTATGAAATATTAGTTGGATTTGTATACTGTACTGAGAACAGTCAACTAAAATGCATTTCATTGTTTTGAATTATAATATTTTACGTTTCTAAAAATAATTTGTATATAGTATCTTTAAAATTTCAGTTGGAAACATCATATTTTAGATAAGAAATAAATAATATTATGAAATATTAGTTGGATTTGTATACTGTACTGAGAACAGTCAACTAAAATGCATGGGGATAAATTTTCTTCTGAGTAATCGACTCATGGGAATCATGTTTTTGCAAAATTTTTATATTTAAGATCCAGTGTTCATCTATCCAGAACATTGGATTCTATAAGAAACACAATTCTGGTAGGAAGTTTATACTTTTGATAAAGCTTATAATTTTTTTGAAAATAGAATGAATATCACAAGTTGTTTGCATCCATTAATGACAATTAAGTGTAGAAGAAACATAGCTTTATTTGTGTAATTTGGTATAAAGAAACTACAATGTTTCAATCGAAAGAAGTTTGGATGGGAAGGAATACAAAATTTTGGAAAGCTGCTTCATCCTACCTTTTGTTCTCCGCTATCATACTTCCTTTTGAAGAGAAGATATTATTTATTTAAATTAAACTCATAATGCCGAATAATCCTTAACTATAATTATTCAGTAATTACTGTCTTGGAGAACAACTGCAACTGCCTCAGCATGTGTGCTGGCTGTTTGAAAAATCTCTTTGGCTTCGATTTCCACATGGAATAAAAATATTGATTTTTTGACATAATCGTTATATGCATTTCATTCTCAATCTGCTTGCAGAAGCTTCTTTATCCACAAGGACACTGCATATCGATAGAGTAGGTTTTGCTTCTCGCCCTGCCCTTTCTTTGACTTTATTTGTGGGGTTTCCATCTCTCGTAATTGGATTCTCATCAATGATATAATTAGCATGATCTGGATTTCCTACACACAATGAGGAGCGTAGCTTGAGCTTCTTTCAATTCGATAAAAGTAGATTTACCTTTATCGTTCGTCTTAGACATGTTGAAAGCAAAAGCGAGTATCATAACATTTTTGTTATTTGGGTTCGGCACATGAATAAAACAAAACAATACAACGTTCATCATAAATAGTTGGGCGTTTTATGCAGTGTCGATGAAATTTGTGGCATGCTAAGAATTTTTCCGGCAAGCTTCGTACATAAGTGTGATCATGTTGTTAGAGTGGTCCAATGAAGCCAATATTCCATGATATCTCACATGTGATAGAAATACGACTTTTGATTGGATTAACATCCAACAAAGTTCACATGGTTTATGACCTGGTCCATGATGATGAGGTTCGGATTTTATAGCCCACATTACTCCAAGTAGTTTGGGTAGACAATTGTTTTTATGTGCGTTGAAAAGCATAGAGCCTGGATAACCTCAACCACAATAGCAGCACAAAACGAGGAGAAAAATTATGCTTGTGAGTCTACTTATGATGTAAAATTCTTCTAAATGTCTCCATTCCGATTTGGATACTTGTAAGAACTAACAGCCCTAGTTAGACAGCTGAAAATAAGTATAAATTTATGCAAAAATCGCGGTTAGAGCCACAACATCTATTGGGAGGAATATTGTTATGAGGATTGCTTACATTGTATTTAATTGCAGGGATATTTTTTAACCTGCAAAATTGAGACCGTGGCTACAGTGAATATTACTTGATGCATCGGAGTTCAGATTTTGTTTTCATTGATTATTAACTTGTTAAATTTGTTGTAAGTGTTCTTGTGTATATTATGAGAGTGATAAACATGTCAATAAATATATTGTGTACTATAACGTATATATGTGATGATTGACTTCAAAAATATATATTTCGATACAATGTGTATCGTGCAAGACATAGTTAAAAAACAGTTTCATTGTCATCGTATTGTGAGACCATAGTGAACTTACGTGGAGATTTGTCAAATACCTTGTGGGGTAGTGAGTATTAGTTGATTATTTCAAAATGCATCTACAAGATACGGAGCTCGGTCAAGAAAAAAAACGAACGTGGATTCTGCTAGATCGGTCATGTTATGCATGTTAAGTGATCACGTTTGATATGTCATCATGACTGCTTTTATTTGAATAGGAGCTGACAATTGGTCTCTTGCAAATTACTATTCAAGACACTCTTGCAGTTAGTTCTAGTTACTCTCCATTCTCAAGATGATTTCACAGGTGGGCCTCTCGCCGTCTTGCTATTTCTTGTACGTGAGAGCCACTACGGTACATTCTTGTTTTCATCTAGTTGCGAAAAGATTATTGACAGGCAGTGTAAGTTCCTAGTTGCATGGCTGGCCTGGCCTTCTGCAAAAACTTATTCGTGGAATCCAAAGTGAGCATTCCGTTGCATACACCTTGACAGGTCTAGAGACAAACGGACGTTTAGAGCTTTCTCGTGTGCTGTGACCAGGTGGAAATTTTACTTTGGAATTTCGTGTAAGGCACATAGGTTGAGAGTGAAGAGTTGCTGGAGCTCACTCAGTACATGCATGTTTGTTTGCTGTGGGAAGGATATGAATACATATATTAGAGACATTAACAGCCAAGAGGTCATTGTCAGAAGGATTCGTTGTCTTCTTCTGTGATGAGAACCATTTCGATTTAATTCTAGTGTTTGTTTAGGATAACTGTTGTGTCTTGGGGTTTTTGTTCCCATAGTGGATTGGGAATAGGATTTTATGGGTTCATAAAGTAGATTCTATGCATACTAGTCCATAAATTCAATTTTCATGATAAAATCAGATAGAAAAAATAAAAATAAAAGTAATTGTATTCTTGAATGAAGTTAATTTCAGAAAATCTACAGTGAAGCTTGGAAACTGACCAATCTTCTCCATATAAATCTCTCGTTTCCGCATGTTCTGATTCAGCAAATTATAACTCTCATAGCCATGAGCTCACTAAATAACCAAAAATATTATGAGCGAAAATACAAAATCCAAACTGATAGAAATCTCGTAAAAGACATAGGAATGAGCATCGACTGTACAATGGCAAGTACAACATATACTACACCTGTAGGCGATCGTCATCGAAGGATTGAGAATGATGATCTTTTCCATCATTTTCTTGCATGCTCTAAATGCTCGTCTTTATAAAAGGGAGAGAAGACCGAGCCCTACTGTACAAGCCGGCGACCACTCGCAATACTGTACTATACTGCAAGTTACTGCATGCAAAGCGTATAGGTAAAACTTTACGGAGCGAATGGTGTAAGAATGTCCACTGCACATTCTCACATCATGTGGAACCACTTCCTCATAATCCGTTCTTCTTATCTTACATTCTGCACATATGCACATATGACAATCGTAATGAGTCAATTTCGCTGAGAAGAAGACGACACACACTTTTCAGATGTAGTGAGCCCACAGAATCATGGTTCGCAAACTATCAACGTCATGAGCCCCTTCTATTGTTAGCGCTCGTCTTTGAGGGACGAAGAGATTCGTAACGAGGAATTGTTGTATAAGGATTAGCGCTAGCCAGCATGAGAAGACGAAGAGAAGAATTGGTAAGAGGCCAACACGTGGAGAAATGAAATAGCAGCAGTCCGGAAGGGAAAGCAAAATGTCGAAGTCATGGGACCACGTTTCAGACCTATGATTCAGACGAAGCAGATCGAACGGTTTGATACCTCTGTGTTTGTTACTGTTGTTATGGACCACGACTCTTTCTCTTGAATTGGGAAAGTGCACAGAGCCTTTCAATATTTTATCCTCTGCCACTTTCGATAAGTACTGCCACTGCTACTGATCATACACTAGATTCCTCTCCTTCAGGTCCTTCTTCTTCTCCTCCTCCTTCTGCGCCATGTACGTGAATCGGATCTGGTAAATTTTAAGAAAAGACGAAAGTAGGATGACGAAGAGGCAGGACGGCCTTCACAGTGCTTTCACTACTATTGCCGTACTGCCTTCAGAGCTTTGAAGATACAAAAGCTCCATTGCTTGCTGTGAGGATGCGGTCCTCTGATGTTGGGAGGGAGGGACGAGAGAGAGAGATAGAGAGAAGGGAGAGAGCGCGAGTTGGTGAGCGGGTGACTGAGAGTGTTCGTTGGTGCTGTTGCCAAAGACCCAAGCTATCTAGCGAGCAAAGTCATGTGAGTGAGCGAGCAAGGAAAAGAGCCAGAGAGTAGTACGGTACATTTTACGCTTAAACTGTCAGAAGCACTGACTGCTATCTCCTTAACGTAGAAGCCTCAGTTGCAGACCAATGTCAACCTTTTGAGCAGACTGAGCAGACAGCAGGAGGCACGTCGGCCGAGCTCGAGCTCGAGCTTGAGAGACAAGTGGAACTGAAGAGAGTGCGATTGCGAGTGTGAGAGCTGACAGGATGTCCTCTCAAAGGTACAATGAAGTTTAAGCTTCCCAAAAGGACCGAGATGGGGTGTCATGTGATGGCAGTTGAGACAGGACGGGACGGTTGTAGCTGCTCATCGCCTGCAGGCGAATGCCCAGTATAGATCTCCGCCCGGCAGCTCAATCATTCTGCATTCTGCATTCGGCATTCGAATGTTGAGTCGGCCTCTGTTATTCTTGTTGCTCCTGCTGTAGCTGCTGGTGAATTGAGCAGTGCCCTTCGCATTAATGGAGTACATGTGTGGAGTAGAAGAAGCTCGTCTGTTCCGGCTGAAGTCAACCGGACAGTAGTCAGGGAGTGAGCCAGCCCAGAGGAAGGGACAAAGGAAGTAACGCACCGTCACATCTCCTCCACTTTGCATGAAATCTTCACGGCAGTTCGAAGTCAATAGTCGGGTAGTGACGGAAGCTTGTGGAGTACTCCTCGGCACCATTCGAATCTGAGCGATCAATTTGCCATGGAGTGAAGGAGGTGTCTCTGCTGGGATGCTGACTGGTGTTCCTCGTCACACTGAGTTTACTTAGATCATACGCTTCTTCCGATAGAGTTCACTACCTGACTGCTACTTGTTGCTTCTTCGGTCGGGAATCTGTAAGCGATTTAACAGCGTGTGACAGCGATTCAGTCTTGTTTGGTGCCATGAATGAGCCGAGAAGAGCTTGTGCGGCCTATGTGGTGTCTCTTTCCCGTCGTCCTCCTGGTGGAGAGCAAATGTGGGATTCAGCTGCTGCTTCCTCTTCGCTGTTGTGGGAAACTTCGCTGGCCGACAGCGGTACTGATCGAATTGACGTGTTGGCCAAGCACGCGGAGGTGCAGAGAGCAATATCATGAAGGAGACGAGAGTGCCACCATTTCTCGATCCAAGACAATTGCAGCGGAGAGTAAGGAGGAGAAGGAGAAGAAGGCTCGAGCTCGAGCTAGCCTGATAGCTTGCTTACTTACCTGATCTCGGAATTTTCATACACTGACTGCAATTGTCGATAGGCACAATCGATTACCCCGAGTTCCCAGATTCATTCTCACCCTCCCCTCACCCTCCTTTGTAAAATTCCATCAACTCTGAAATTCGAGAGCAGATCACCATGTCCATTTCCTTTTTCGCGATTCTTAGCATTTTACTAATATGCTCCCAGCTCGTTCTGGGAATTATCCAACAACCCACTCATGAACTTGCACCAGCTTCAGCTATCAAGTCAAAGGCGAAATTGAGAGCACTGCTCGAAGATCGACATCGACATGGATATCCGATCGAGCATTCACGCGAAGAGAATGCCAAGAGCTCGAGCTCGAGCTCGGGCTTGGTTTTCGACGTAATCCATAGGCAGCACCCGAGCTCTCCATACAGGCAGGCCAGCAAGTCACACGAGGAGGTGATGCAAGAGCACGTCAGGAGAGGGATGCTGCGCCTGGATTCGTTGCAGAAGTCCACATTCGCGGAGAGGACGAGTAACACCATGCCCCTGACGCGCGAGGGTCCTTCCGCACTGCAGGAGAAGGTCATAGCTCCGGCGGGCGAGTGGCAAGGGGAGTATTTAGTGCAGATGCAAATCGGAACGCCGGCCCGACCCATACTGCTCATAATCGACACGGGCAGCGGGCTCACGTGGATCCAGTGCGCGCCCTGCACGCAGTGCTTCGCGCAGCAGGAGCCGATCTTCGATCCGGCCCGATCCACCTCGTACGCGAGAGTCAATTGCTCGCACCCGGCCTGCGGCGCCAGCTCGCTGTTCCAATGCGCCGAGACGCACAACCGGACCTGCGAGTATGGAGTGCAGTATGGCTCGTCGAGCTTCAGCACGGGCGTCGTGTCCACTGACACTCTGACCGTGGACTCGCTGTCCGGCACCGCGCTGCGCCTCCACAGCTTCCTGTTCGGCTGCGGCATTTTCAATCAGGGCCAGATGGTGGGCAGCTCGGGCCTGCTCGGCCTCTCGCGCAGCGCCATCGCCGTGCCCATGCAGCTCGCCGGCGCCGGCCTCAATTTCTCGCGCAAATTCACGCACTGCTTCGCCGACCTCGCCGCGAACCGCAACGCCACCAGCTTCATGTACTTGGGCGACGCCCGGGCGCACCAACTGCAGTACACGCCGTTCGCGGTGCCGCCGTTCCGCACGCAGTTCTACTACGTCGGCCTGCAGGGCATCAGCGTCGACGGGCGCCGGCTGCGCATCCCGGCGTCCGCCTTCGCGTTCTCGGTCGACGGCACCGGCGGCACCGTCATCGACTCCGGCACCACGTTGACGCTGCTGGTGCGCCCGGCCTACGCCGCGCTGCGGGCCGCCTTCAGGGCAGCAGCCGCGCGCAAGCACCGCCTCCACGCCAGCGCCGTGCGCGGGGGCTTCAACAGCACCGTCACCAGCCACGTCATCGACACATGTTACCGCATCCCCGCCGAGGAGTTCCGGCCGTCGCGAGTTCCCGCCGTCGCCCTGCACTTCGCCGGTGGCGTCGACCTGCGCCTGCCCCCGAACAACGTGCTCTTCCCGTTCGACGACCACGGCCTCTTCTGCCTCGCCTTCACGGGCACCGCGTCCGACGTCGGCATCAACGTGATCGGCAACATTCAGCAGCAGAACTTCCGAATCGAGTACGACCTCGAGAATTCCCGCATCGGATTCGGCCGCGCTTACTGCGCCGAGGATCGATAGCCTCTGCGCCTGCTGCTCCTCCGCTTCCTTACGAGCTCGAGATTCTCTTTGTGATCAATTCTGCATTATATTCGAGTGCGAATTATATCGATACAGATTTTCGTCGTACTGACAGGATTGCGCTGGCTCGTGGCCGGGGCCTGGCTCGCGGTGGATGATTTCCAGCGCCGAAAAGTCTCACGATCCGCACACGATGCGCTGCGAGCCAGATCCCGATCCCAATTATCCACCACTGTTCAAGCCACGTCCACTCGCGATCGAGTCGTCTGGACTCAGGTCGAGCGATGCAGTCGAGAAAAAGCCCATTTGACTACCTGACTATGTAAATAGACAGATAGCTAGCTAGCTTAGAGTAGATAGCCACACTTAGCTGGTCATCGGATTTAATGTTGATCTATGTCGATCGATCGATCGATCGATCGAAGTCCAGCGATTCTCCTCCCAGAGCTTCTTCCTTCTCCACGGCAGCACGCTTTTCCTATCGATGACGAGGGCCTGGGAGGCCGATTTGATGACACTAATTTCAAACTACATTATTCATTCATTTTCACGGCACGAGTAGGAGTAGCTGTAGGGCCATCCGTATGTATGAACAGACAGCTCTGTCGTCAGCATAATTTGCAATTGTACACTGTCCGAATACATGAAGTCTGGCCAAGCCCAGTGAGTCCAGTCCAGCGACCAGTCTCGTATTTTTCTCCTCTTGCTTTTACCATTGTTTCCTCTACGATCACACTCGCCGTCTGCACACAGACACAGCCAAAAGTAGATCCATCGACAGCGGGTGCCCCAGAGGACTGGAGCCAGCCGTCCACAGCGGATCGCGTTCATAGACCAGGTGGATAAAGACGCAAAGGCCGGAGCCCCTTGACAAACACCCAAAGTTTGGACTGTTTCTGACGCCGGCTTTTTACCGGGATGTCGATGAGATGGGATGAGATTTGGGGCGTGCGCATTCTGCACTGAATCCATGTACTGTATCGTGCCTTGTGCACCTCATGCGAGGCGGCGAGAGGAGGGATGGATCATGACTCGGGGCTGGAGTGGGCGAAAAAGACATGCTGCGTACATGATGCAAGTCATTTATTGAGCGCATCGTGGAGGCGAATGCATTTTTCCTGGTGAAGGCCCGAATGGCCGACCACGCCATGCGCTACCTGAACGCATCCATCACGCGTCGACCATTATATTCATTCATGGCCCCTCTTGCCATTTGTCGTTCACCCCACCCTCGACGGGCTCTCGATTCTTGCAACTGCAAGCGCACCCCACAGACCCGACCAGAACCAGTCCTTCACCCGCTTCGCCTTCTTCGGGTGATGCTCGTCTCTCCATGGCTCGGCTGGGCTCTGCTCTGCTCAGTTGGTCGCCGCAGTTGATCAGATCGGGGTCCTTTTATTGCAGTAAGAAGCAGCAGTAAGAATATCCACTCGCACACGGCCTCCGACGTCCGAAGGTCCCCGAAATATGTCCCGAGTCCTGTACTGCAAGAGCTGCTTTTCAGCTGCAGGACAGTGCGCCAGACTTACATGCCTACCCTCTCTACTGCACGTTTTGGGCTACCGGTCTACTCTATGGCTCCTTTTCTTCCAATCGATGCGAGGATCACAAGCTCATTGTAGCCAGTCTAGCCAAAGGCTACTAACTCTGAGCTGCGAGCGAGCAGGTGGCACCACACGCAACTCGGCTGCATCGGTGTACGTGGAGTGAAATCTTCTACAGCAAGCATGATCCATTGATCCCCCATATACCTGATGTAGTCCCGTACGAGGCTCGGCATGGTGATCGACAGAAACTCGAGACTGGTTTTGAGTAGCCGCAACCTTGTGCAGTAGGTTGCTCATGACTTCGGTGCAGCAGGCAACAAGTGGAGCCCTGCTCAGCGCTTCTGTTGCTGCTGTTGCTGCTGCTGCTACCGGTAGGATGGAAAAGTGAGTATGGTCGCTGAGATAGTGCGAGAGCAGATCCCCAGCTCTGCGGGCCACTCTCGAACATGCCATATGCTTTCTCTGTCCACAGGCTCTGATGCGTCTTGAGCGCCCACCACTTTCGGCCTCGTGTAATAACGCTCGAGGCTTCCGGTTTGTAGACCCGCTGACTTGCTTGCAGTTTCCAATGTTGAGCATAATTGGTGGCATGGGTGGTCGATTCGTTCAAGGTCGGTTGACTGTACAGTAACTGCATGATTGTACGCTAACGATCGATTCCGATGCTCGACATGCCTGACACCAGAATTTTACTCCCTCGCACCCCGAAAAAGCAAAATTTACCGAAAAGTTACTTCCTCGTACCGCGCGAGGCGTGTCAGTGTCACCGGAAAAGATAACTCCCGTTCGCGACAAGAGCCCCGACAAGAACAATTGAGCTCATTTCGATCGTGCAAGACCGGGCGGATTTTGAGGTGCTCGTTTCCCTGTTGACGAGGAGCGGCCGTGGTTCTCAGTCGCTCACAGAATTCTCGATGTCCATTATGACGCGCAGAACTGGTGCACGGTGCGTTTTCGGGTAGTCCTGCAATTGCGGTCTCGCAGACTCTTTTCGAGGACGCAGTTGCATAGTTTCTATGGCAATTATGTTGGATCGTTTAGTCAAGCTTTACTTGTGTCAGACCTCTGGCTTTCACAGTTCAGTGTGGTCTTTCGGGCCCACTCGGATCCATGGGCCGGTCAAGTTCAGTCCTTTCCCCTTGAAGCACAAGAACTTGACCGAATGCCGGGTACGTCTTTTATGTCCGTCCTTGCTCGGGATGCGAGGAAGTAAGTTTACAGAGAACAGGAGTATTTTGGACTACAGGGAGTAAAAGCCTGGCCTGACAACCAGAAGACGATCGAGCTGCAGCTTGCTTATAGTCTGTCGGGGAATGCTCCTGCTGTTGCGCGTGAGGGATCAAGCCCCACCTCGCGATCGCTCAGAGAAGGAATCTGGACCGAAAATTTGGACCCTCTAGAGGCCTTACCGTTAACAGAAGTGGTCATGTGCATGGTACGCTAACAGATCTGCCTTACGGTGCCAGATGCAGCAGGTATATATGCTTAGAGTCGCATCAAATCCGGCTCTGGTATGGCCAGGGAGAAAGGTCGGCTGCTCTGGACATCTTGTTCGACCCCCAATGTCACGTTCTGTCCTGCCCATTGAGGACAAAGACGAGATCATAACCTCAATGGTCACGACCTGCGCTGGATGTTTGTCATGGATGCTCAGAATGCTTCGGTAGTGGTGAATGCAAGCGGTTTCGAAAATCGGTTCAGAAGAGGTGCACATCAGCTTCCACTGGTTGAGTTTCAAAGCGAGAGCCCTGAGCTTGCATTGGGCCAACATGGAGCAATAATCACTCGGAGCATGATCGAGTCACTACTTCATGCCAGATCCCAGCATAGTTCATATTGACCGACCTTGTAGGCAAGCTCTGCTGTACTCTCCCATGCACTAACTACGAAGCTCTGTGCGCTATTTGCTACGTGAAGTTCATAACTATCTCCCACCGTCGGTAGTCTGTCGAAGCTTGGTGTGCATATTGACTCCAATGTGCTCCATTACCTCTTGCCTTGCACGTAAACCCCGGCTTTAGCACGCAGTAGCAATGGTTATTCTGATTGACCTGAGCTCAGCTTACATCGTGTCATCATCCCTGACGTTTGAAGCGTAGTGATTACCAATAAGATGTCGAACATTCTAAATAACCTTCTAATCTCGATCTTTCAAAGCTCAAATGTTGGAATAACATGAGCTGAATGGCCTAGAAATGCCATAGGCTCACTCTTGAACGTTCTAGACCTTCCAGTATATGTCAAGTGACAGAATCTGTGAGTTTGTGACAATCAGCTCTGAGTGACCAGGAGTTGGTATCAATTTCCACACTACGGTAGTTTATGAGGATCCAGTCCGATCTAATTCCAACTGCTTCCTCAGAGCTTATTCCGTCAGATAGTAGTCGTGAGCGAAAGCAGTTTCCACGCGTCCATGCTGAGTAGATTGATATGCTTTACACTCGAGTACGGATGGTTTGTGATTTGACTACCTCAATGTGGTATACGAGGTAATTAAGTGATCGTCAGGTACATGTGGATACAGAGTTCCTCACCGTTTGCAAAAACTTCTTTCCTCTAAGCATTGATCTTTTCTCTGGACGTCAGGACTGGAATATAGATCACAAGTTTTGCAGACAGATTTTGAGTGCAATTGTGGGACTGCCTGTGGCTTATCTTACTAAATGAGTTGGCTATGCCTGGTCACTTCATCCGCGTTCGATGCAATGTCCCTCGAAAGATTGTAATGGTTTATGTCTACCCTGCACAAGAGTTTGGAACCTTGATCCAATCAGCATAACATTTACCGATAAGGTAACAGGATCGCTCATTGGATTAGTTCAGAAATCCAATGCCCGATTTCTACGTGGAATAAATCCAGATAGATGGACACTGACAGTCTTCTTCTTTATTGTCAGCTGTCTCAGCTTATGAAATCGGATCCACCGGGTTTGCTCGGGTCTAAAAGAAAACATATCTGACCTTACTGGTTGCATGAGCTCTTGCACTACTCCACGGTGTGTTCATGAGTTCTAAGAGAAAGAATCACAGAATCTAAAAGCGCAGTAGAGGAGAAGTACTTGACGTGCATCATGCTGAAGGAGAAATGTCTGACTACATTCGTTTCGAAGGGAAGTGTGCTGTTATGAAATAAATCCTGCACCCCAGCGGCAGTATTCCAAGGGCAGAAGTGAATTCGACGACTTTTGGAGGCTTCAAAAGCCAACATTCCAAAATACGCACTAGCGAGTTCTGCGTCTCGAACCATGCCCCCAAAGCACTTAACCATTGTGGCCTTGAATCCCCACACCGGGTCTCGGAAAAAATCTTTCGAGTCAGAATCTAGGTTCAGTTCAGTCAGACCCTGCAAACCTGCATGCTGCTGATGTACCGCAGGAAATCAGAGCTTGAGGTGGACAGTAACAGGGCAGACAAGTCTCACAAACCCACCAGCAAGAAGTGCAGAATTATTTCAATCCCAGCAGAAAAGTGTCACTTGAAGAATCCTCAGAGGGTGGCGGTATCAGAACCCGCCATGCGAAGTGCATCCTGAAACAGCGGAACCATACTCCACTCACTTCATGGGCTCTGTTCCGGCTTTATCTGAACCTTCGCACTTTGACCGGTGTTCTTTTCTGACTCGGGTATTCGGATCTCCTGTCGGGATTAAAACGCAAGGTTTTGCCTTCGACCTTCCAGAGCACGAAGGACGCCAACTGTAAGTTGAAAAGGATCGTAAGATACTTTTGATCATTTGCACTTGAACATTTGACTGTTTCGGGGACGTTCATTCTCATGTCATCCTCACACAAGTGGGCACGAGTTCAGGATTCAGTCTTTTATATATATGATGCAAGGATTCATTCTAATTCTTATTGAAAGAAAAACAAGGTCACATATTTTGCTTTCTTTCTTTTCACACATTTTGTGAAATATGAGTCACAAGCATTGTTACAGAGTGCTTTGCTTATTATATTTTCTCTTATTGTTGAATTTGAAATTGACATTCGTATCATACTATGTATGCTTGACATATTACGTAGGCGCTTTCATTATGTTCAATAGTAACCTAATTCTAAAATTTAATATTTTTATTTACTATGTTAACTAGTGTTTCTTTCTATGTCTATTCCGTTACATTCTTTCCAGG